TGTCAACTCGTTTGCATTGAGCAAAACAAGCCCGTTATGGGTCTGTCCAACGGCGAGGAATGCTGGTGTGGTGACGAGATTCCCGCCAAAGAGTGGCAGATCAAGAACGAGACATGTGGCACCACGTGTAGCGGCGACAAGACATGGACCTGTAAGCTGACAACCTTCCCTTATTTCGCTCCCGACTGACAGCGCTTAGGTGGTGGAAAGGACAAATTATGGGTCGTTCTCACCGGAACAACTAGGAACCCAGTCGACTTTTACGAGCCCGAAGTAGAGAGCAGCAGCTCAGTAGCACCAAAGCCGTCGTCCGCTGCTCCGACATCAACCGGTGCCGCCCAGGCTTCGGCCACTCCATCTGCGGCGCCCGAAGAAGACAGCAAACCAAACACAATCGCCATCGCAGTGGGCGTAGTCGTCGGCATACTAGCCCTTGCCTCGATCATGTTCGGTGTATGGTTCTTGCTCCGCCGGAGACGTCAGCATCAAGCAGAAGAAGACTACCGTCGCAATGCCGCCAACGTAAATGCTTTCGTCAACGGCGGCAAGCTACACACCAGCAACTCGTCCATGAACGACTCGCGTCTGGACCCGAGCTTCGTCGACCGAAGGCAGAGCAACGGCAGTATTGCAGACAACGAGGACTACTCGAGGCGGATATTGAAGGTATGCGATCCACGATGCCGCCTGACGAAACGCCACTCACTGACACTCCATTAGGTTACCAACGTATAAGTGCCTCAAACAGGGCAATTGGCGCAACACGTGCGCTCTTCACGTCGACCCTCTCTCACGACTGGCGTCGCTGACGAACACCTCCATACCCTGACTACGCAACTACCTAATCTCCTTCACTACCATGTCTCGCACCACGGTGCGCGCAATCACGCTTTGACGACGAGAGTAAGAATCATCTTGCGATTTAGCCCGTTACTATTCAGTACACGACGGAACCACCATACCGTTGTGCAGACCAGCATTTGACGAGGATAAAGAAAGATTTGTGGCGGCTGCACCGAAGAATCTTTTCACCTCTCTTGTGTTATATCCAACCTTTTCTTGTTTCCTCAACTGGGCGTTTGTGGGGTGTTAGATACCGGGCAATTGAATGGGTCACTTATAACTCCATCCGGCGCACAAGAGCACCACGGTCGCTCTCTTGTCTTTGTTCTTTGTTTACGGACGGTAATTTCGTCCAAGCCATTCCTTTACCTGAGGGCATTAGTTCCTGTCCTGCCGCTCCCTATCCCCATGTGTGCTCCTCTTGCCTGTCGCCATGTAGCCACCCTGCCAACAAGCACCCCCCATTTTCTAGCTACTCTATCTACCACCTCCGCCAATCAAAATCAGTCACATTACATGATATGTCTACTGTGACACTCAAAGCAGACTTGCAAATACTCCTACAAACTTGGTGACTAACCGCCATTACGAGCATTATCCCCACAGCCACACAACCAACGTCATCAACATACCATGCTATTCAAGCTCTGTGCACCAGTTATTGCACATGGTTGTGTGTCACGCGAGCCCTCGCGATGCCCCAGCCTCCCCTAGCCACACTAGCCCAACATTTTCAGCCTCAGCCTTGCACATCACCATTAAAGCGCTGTACAACTGCCACCAATGAAGAACCATCTCCCTTCCCCTCCCCATACTTTTGCGTCGATCACCCAGTTAATCACCACCCTTTTCGAGAAAGGCTCGAGGTCACGCGAATTGGGATTGAAACGCACCTACAACGCAGCGCAATGTTACCCAAGGCAAGATTGAAACCAAAGTGACCCAGACGAACTTGACCGCCTTTTTTCTCCGCACTTTGATGCGTGAAATTGCCTCGTGAAAGAGCCGACTCCGAGGTGCCCGTAGTCCAAGTGGCTGGGTACGGCAAAAGGTGGGGAAAGACTTCGGCGATTTCGGCCTCCCTTCTTGTTTCACCACCCCTCCTCCGTCCTTGCTCGTTTCCCTTTCGCTGTCGCCGTGAGGCTGAGAGTGCGGACCCGTGATCTCCCCGAGGGTATCGACAAATTTCCCGACCAGAGAGGGAAAGAAGGGTCGGTTTGTCTTGATGTTTTGACATGCGTGCTTTTTTGTTCTCGCACTTGCTTTGGCCTTGCAACGGGGATTATGTGCGTCGGTGCGTTTGTTACATGTTCTGGGAAATGAAGGGCTTCGGCATTTGGAGAGCATGTGCGAAGGTCATGGCATCTGGGCGTTTGTGGGCTGAGAGGGAGGGTTCGTTATGCCGTTGATGCCGTTGCGGTTGATACTGACTCTCTCGTGCATATTGTGGCTCTCTTGTAAAGCCGAGGTGAGGATTCGGTGGTTTTTCTTTTTCCTTCGCTGCTTTGATGTGTCCTGGGGTCTGAAACAAAACTCAAGGCGCGGCGGTATGTGGTAGGCATTTTGGGAATTGGAAACGCGAATCCGAGCTTTCTAGATGTTTGGCATTGTTCGCTACCAGAGAGTTCGCTGGGTCGAAGCTAGGCTTGAAGTTATACCCTGGAGGTGTTCGCTGGGGTTTACGGTGACGGATTAGTACGGCAGACTATACTGTATGCTCCAAGGCTTGGTGTGGCTAAGAGTTGGAGAAGGAAAGCGTTGTTGTAGTCACCGGCGGCAGTGCCGACAGCTAAACCAGTGATGAAGGTCCGCAACAACGGCACCATGTATTGATGGTCTATTGCAGATAAAGGGTTGTTTGGTGAGCTATCGTTCGATGAGGTGAGTACAATCGTCGAGCGTATACATCTAGTGTTGTCCAGTCAGGAAAGCTTTCATGTAGAGATTCGCTCATACGCAGAGCTTTGTTCGCTCTTCCTCATATTATTTTAGGACAGACAGCTAACTACCTAACGTTCTTTCGATGATGGAATAGACAGACTTTGTGATATGGCTGTGCAAGGAGAACAGGTTGTTCAGCTCCTCGCCGGTATCGACACGCCGTCCAGACTCGACATGCCGGTGAAAACACACGTCGAGTTCGCAGGAAGCGTCAAGGATAACATACTAATCGTTTCACCACACCTCACTGCTCCCCCGAACAACACCGTTCGTCACGAGTATAGCAAGACGCTCGACTTGTCTATGCTCGCTCTATATGCGAAAGTCAGAATACACCCGTAGATCTCGCTCACTCTCAGCAACGCAGGTCACTACATCTTGACGTCATACTAAGACGACTTGGTCGTAACCTGGTAATAGGTGACGAGGGCTTAAGGTCGGTCTTACTATCGGACACGCAGGGGTTGATGTCTATATAAAGCACCTACCTAGGAAGAGAAGCACGACCTACTCTACCGGGCTATATGACCGCACACCTCCGAGCGCTGTCAAGCGGAGGTGCCCACGGGGTGGATTGAATGTACAACAATAGAGCATATAGACCATATGACGCGCGTCTCTTTCTCTGTCGCGCATCCCCAGTACTTCGACCGAATCAGAGGATCAGTTATCGCTGGCTGGGTAACGAGATGCGTGGCACCGCTATCAAGAAGCGCCTGGTTCACTACCTCGATATATCGCTCCATCGATCGTTTGACCTTTCCTTTGCTTCGGCTCTCGCTCTGATCGTGCCTGCTATCTTGACCATCGCACCTTATACAATGAGAACCCAAAGAGGCCTGCAGCCTACATTAAGATAAAAATGTACAAAGTGGGTAGCCTGACGCTGATGTAGGCGCCAGGGTGTGAGTTCGGCTTCTTCCTTGCATGAGGCGATAGCTTTATGCTGCGTTGAGGCTTGGGTTGCAACAGTCTACATATGTATCGATGAAGCCAACGGCAGTCTGTGTGAAGATAGCATATGCAATCGGATAAATGAGGCAGCAACAGGCTGGTCACATCGACATGGTACGCATCTGAGAACATAGACGTCTGATGATGCTTTTGATTCCATAGCAGTACGATGGTGTAGTCGATAAGCCTCTCCTGAATGGCGAACTGATGCTTCTTATTGGTGACAGGAACACTTCGATCTCTGTCAAAGGACTCGGCTTGGTATACAGCTAGACTGAGCCGCCTCACAGTCTGTGTTTGCTCATCGTGTTCAAGCCATCCCACTGGGGACTCGGAGTCGTACCGCTGGTTACCCGCTTCCGGTCGATGCGACGAGGCATTATATGCACGTGCAAGGCTCTGTGTTGTCAGAGAGATGGTAGATACAGACTAATTTCAGCGAAGAGTAGTAGTAGGCAAGTCCAGGCTGATTCCTTGTCGATGATGAATAGTACTGTTTCCATCGGTAGTGGGTTATGACGAAATGATCATGAGACTGCGTAGAGAGCCTGTAGGCTTCTCCGGATTCTCTTCTCTCATGGTGAGCCAAACTGGGATCTTCTTCAGCATGGCTGCCGTTTCCCCAATATGCGTACTTCGAAATGACGTCCGCTCGGTCTAGTATCCAGGTCAAGCGCCAAGATAGCCGTAGTCGCAGGCAACATCGCCGCAGCGTCTTACGCCCGCTATCTCGACCAAGCCAACATCTCGCATACCATGATATGGACCCATGGCCATAAGCGATACCGCGACGAGTTACCGTGTGCGTGGCTGGAAGAGGATCCTACTGGCAGCGTCACTCGGTTGACCGTCGGGGCCGCAGCGTGTATCCCACCCCTACGCAGCGTGCCATGGCATTTAGGGAGCGAATACTCGACTATATCACTGACAAGTTGAACGATGCGCCGCATCTCTCAGCGTTCCTATCGAGCGCGCAATACTATTTCAAAGTCAACTCTGGAATTATACTACCCATGCATTTGTTGCAGGCAGTCTTGTCTAGCGAAGACCATGCGCAAGACATACGACTCGAGCAATCCAGCAAGATGAGGAGCGCACTGATGAAAATCTTGATCAAAAAGCACGACGAAGACATCACCGAAGCGCAAGTCAACGCAATCCGAAGCATCAGGATCGCGTGCAACGTCGACCCAGCGGGTGGCCCCATACTATGGGAGAGTCAGTACTCAAAGGATAGATACGAGGGATATGTCACATTAACCTCATTCCTCATTTTTTTTGATCCCCTTGATCTGTTCTTCGTTCATGCTTTTGCTGCGGGACATGAAGTTATCAATGGTAGAGTTGTTTAACGTCGGGATACTCAGAATCTTGCGAAGTGTGTTGTTGTCTGCGCCGTACTCCTCGATATCTTGAACTCGCACTATCAGCCCATTGGCGATCTGGAAAGGGTATTTCGCTGAGCTGAGAAAGCCTTGCAGGTGTGCCGTCCCCCAGACCTTCACCATCGCGTAGTCAATCAAACGCTCTTTAAGCGCATTGGCTCTCGCCTTGTGGGTGACTACCCTGCCGCGGATACGGTTGAAATACTCAGGGTGCGGAACTGAGAACGCGATGCGTTTGATATTGTTGTCCTTGTTGAATTCGATCCAACACGGTGGCTTCTTGCTTGATTGGTACTCCTGTAGAAGTACGAAGTCAGTATGTGTCTCATGTGCAGTTCATACAGTTATAGCTTACATTGTTGCCACCAGCAAACCATATTTGTTGGTGTTGAACATGGTCCGCGTCTAGATATGACAGATAGGTGTTGACCGCAGCTGCTCCGACAAGTAGGGCGATCTTTGCCTGCGATCTTGCCAGCCATTCCTGGGCGACACACTGCCAGAACAATCTCAGGTTGGTGGGGATCTCGTCGACAACGTTGCCTAGCCCGTCGATGTTGTCTCGGTTGATGCGACGCGGGAATACGTCGACATGGAGGGCCCCGGTCGGTCGGACGGACTTGAGGTGCAGCCCCAACTTTGAATAAAGCATATTCATACACTGATTGGATAGGTCCATCGTTGTGCCGTAGGAGGCGTGTACCGTACTGCCATCTTTCGCTGTCGGATAGGATGACACTACGACCAGGCTGTCTTGGATGCTCCCTGTGTACTTGACTGCAAGGGCACAGTTAGTTCAGCCGCCTTTTAGATCCCAAGTACCAAAGAAAACTTACCTAGCTGATCCTCTGACATGTCCAACCACTTCGGCATATTGGTTCCGACAGGCAGCTTGATTGCTCGCTCAGCCTTGGCTCCCTCTTCCCACAACAGGTCCGACTCTTCGTACGTCGAGGGCCAACTCTTAGGCTCGCGCTGGTGGTGTGGTATGGTAAAGGGCGGCGAATTGTGTGTAGTAATCTGGGCTAAGAAGTCTTGGACATCTGCAAGCATAAAGTCAGTATGCCGGAGTACATCACATCTTGTACGAGTACGTGTAGCTTACCTTGCTGGCAAATGCCAGGGAGAAGCCGCTGGACGAGCGCCTCGATGTCGGTAGGGCTCAGGTCATCAAGTAGATCGTTGTCGCTAACGGCACACCCCTTGAGTATACTAGGCACATGCTTCTCTTCTATGCCTGCGGTGATGTCGTCTTCTATAAGACTGGCATAGACGTTGATGCTAAAGTCGTTCTCTTCCTCGTCGTAAACTTCGGTAGGCGTCAATGTGTTGCTCTGCTGACGCGGTGTTCGAGCAGGTGTCCGAGCAGATGTCCGAGCAGGTGTCCGAGCGGGTGTTTGGGCAGGTGTTTGAGCGGGTGTTTGAGCAAGCTTCTTCTTTGGTGCCATTGTTGGACGTGTGATCGAGAGAGCGATGGAGCGGGGGCGTCAATGGGAAATGAGAGCTTGGTGATGCTTCACTGTCGGACGTGTGCTCGAGGGAGCGAGGGAGCGGGGGCGTTGACAGGAAGTGAGACGCTCTCTTTGATAAGTGGGAGCTTGGTGAGGCTTGGTTGGTCAGACCCATGAGGCATGAGGAAGGAGCGCCGTCATCGAGCCCAACCATTTACCTCAGCATCCCGAGGTCCAGTTGGTCAGAACCGTGAGGCACGAGGAAGGAGCGTTGTTGTCGTGGCCTAACCATTTACCTCAGCATTTAGTCAGTGAGTAGTATAATGCAGTCGCGATAGAACGTACACGCGGTACAATTCGAGACTTTGTAAATGTTCCCGCGCTAGCCTCGCCACTTGTGTTAGCAAGTTTGAGGCTGGCAGTAGCCGCGCCACAAATAAATAATGTTATAAGTTAAAACAATAGACTTACATTCATTAACAAAAGACAAGACACTGTGCCAGAGTGGTTTAATAGGTGTGACTCGAAAGAGCTTGTCTCCATAAGATATCACAAATTGCAAATGCGCGCAGCACGGTTGCCACAAACGTAGTAATGTAAGGAAAAAGAGACGAACGCTGCAGCAATAAGAGACTGTGGTAGTGAGTGGCTGCAGGCCTGCCAGACAGACGAAGGCTGCGGAGGCTGTGCACTAAAAGCGAGAAGTGCGGAGGTGAGACACCGAAGACGGTAGAAGGAGGATGTGACGTTGGTGAGGTGTGATTGGAGTGCGCTTGTTGATGGTATCCAATCTGTGGTTTCGGTAAGAGGCAGGAGGTAGAAGCGATGGCACTCACCATGGGTAGCTAGGATTTGTCTCGCGTTTGCTGCATACAGACTCGTGAAAGTTAACAACTAAGTAGTTGTAAAGTTGATGTATACGTCCACCTAAAAATATTCTCAATAGTACTTTGGGCTTTTTGTCGTAATGCGACACGAATTGTAGCTACTCCCAGTGCTCAACTCCGGTGGCATCGGGATGTCTGCTTAGACTTCTCTTATATTCACTCCGGAGCAACCGACGAGAGACATGGGACAGAAGGGATGGTAATTAGATCCAGCGATGTCAGGCCCTCTGATCGGGCCTCCTTTGTCTACTCCAGAGCTATCGGTGAGAGGTATTAGGCGAGGGTAACGGCATCCAGATCTGACAGCATCAGGATGTCTGATCGGACCTCTTACATGCATTCCGAAGTTTTTGGTGAGTATACAGGCCTGCCGGTATCAGATGTGCTCCATTGTTCCTTTTTGGATCTGTTCCTAATAAGCAATGAAATCACGGCCGGGCAGTTTTGATGAAGATTCTGACAAGTCAAGGCGCTAGGCAGAGGTGCCATGATGCGACAGAGGTGGTTGGCTAGTCATCCGAGTGAGGGCTTATTTATTGGGTTATATCCACATCTTAGAGTCAGCCGATCTGACAGGGCGTATTGTTCAAGCATCTCGCTAGGCGGCTAAGCATGTTGGCGAACCAGCTTGTCTATACCCTCTCTCGTCAGCTCGCAATTGCATGATGCTCGGGCGCCGCTCGTGGAGCAATATACGCTTCGAGCGGTGGGCGAAGATTGCCCGGAAACCTGGATTATCCGGCTGGATGATGCCCATGTGGCCACTGTGGCATCCATGAATGTCTCTCCTGCACGACCTCGTTCACCGACTGGCCCAACATGATCACTACTCCGAAGCCATACGGCCGTATGAAATTCCAGAGGATCATATATCAGGCGACAGTTGACGCGGTGGGTCTTGCAAACTACCTTCTCACTTCTCAAGAACTTTAACCTTCATACTATCCATACATCTGAATTCGCTTTCGAGACTTTCAATCCTGTACGAGCACATCGTTCTTTGGGAAATAGTCGATAACCAGACGCGAGGCAAACAGCATGAAGCTCGCCGCTACCGGGGCCCTTGTGCTCTTTGTTCGTTCGATCATGGGCGCAGGCTGTCCAGACGGCCAAGTTGGTGTTGGTACCGTACAGAGCTGCCTGATCGTCAAGTTCGTCCTTATCCATCCCAATCGCCAGGGTGCCTGGACGAGACTGCGAGCTGACTTTTATCTCTAGCAACATGCTGACTGAGTGCGGGGCGACGCAGGGTGTCGTATTTGGAGCAGGCAATTGCGACCAAGCCGATATCGAGAACATGTTCCAGGAGGACGGATACTGTCAGCCCAGAACTTTCCTTCATGGCGCCAAGGTTTTCTGCGAAGACGATGACATAACCGTCACGTCTGTTGCATACGATCTAGCGACTTGGGGGAATTGCAAAAAACAACATGTCGATTGTTCTGCCGGGCCACTTCAGTACCTATATATTGATTACTGTTGCGAGAAGATGTAGGGCTGAATACCTCACTCAACTGTTGCCGCGGCCAAGGTACGGAAATTATGTACGCTAGCAAAGTAGCATCTGCCCACACAAGAAAGTTGTACGAAGCTGACTTCGGGATGGTTCCTGTAGGTGTCGTCTGCTTGTTCATTCCCTTGGCCTTGTTAGCATAATGCAATCATATTCCCTTCATACAAAATTACCGAGATGTTTGATGATGCACCGGCTGTAACTAGCAATGGCGGTACATCACCCAAAACGAGGGTCGTGGTAAGTCTGTCGGGTACAGGGTGTTCTATGTCTTAGGCCCCCGCTATGAGCAGCTTACTGTAGGTAAGAGGCTTCGCCGTTGGCAAAGTTTGCGACAGTTGCACTCTCCCCGTAGGTCGCAAGCCTGTGCTAAGATCACCTGCCTCGCTCAACACGCGCGTATGTCTCCTCAAGCGTGTTGCAATGACTTCGTCAGCGAGCGATCCAAGCAGGCCTACTGTACCACTCGTGCGTCGCGTCGTCCTCCCTTTCGATAAAGATCAAAGCATGCGTTGTTGTGTTGACGCACCCGGCGAGGAGCTCGTGAGTAGCATGTGAATGCCGATCGCCCTCGCAAGGGACCAGGCTTACACCCCCGGAGTCTGGAAATCAGCATGCGATGACCCGAGGCAAAGAGAAGACGATGCGCATCAAAATCCTAGAGCATTAGCGGTGTGAAGAGATGGATGGTTGTGTTTGAACGCTGTGGAAGGATTGAAGTTGCGCACTGCGTGCGTCGGCCGAAGTGGGGTCTGTGAGCCCTCCAAGTCTCACATGACCAAAAATTGTGTTTTACCCCCACACCTAGGTATGAGCATTTGTTTGTGCTGGAATGAATGTTTTTGTATTGTAGAAGTGTTTGCATGTCTCAGATTCAAAATCGGTCAAGAAATGGTGGTTTTGTGCGCAAAAAATACCAATTCACTCCTTTTTCTCCACCACAACTATTACTACGCTTCAGTAGACTTTACAGGACCTTAAAAAGGGCAAAAAGAATGCGAAGCCGGCAGGATTCGAACTGAAAACGCTGTTAGTTGCTTGTCTTGTCGATGTGTAGTTGTGGAGAAGTGATTTCTTACCCTGCGCGCCCGAAGGCATATGATATCTATTCAAGCTGCTCTAAACGAACAGCTTATTCGAGTCATACCCATTAACCACTCTGGCACGACTCCTGTGGTTGTGATGATTGATGGAAGATAGCTCAGCAGTAAGATTTATATCCTTGTTCAGAAGTTGGTCACTGGGGACTTACTTGGGCAAATGGGACCACAGCGGGGCAAATACAACCTTACCTGGACTTGTCTAGACCACCAGACACGTCCGAATGAACGACTTCATTCATTGGCTAAGTGGTTCTTCAAACGCAGAATTTTGTTGGGTGGTGGGGCTGGCGCCCACCACGACCATGTCCGCTAACCGCCCATCTACCGGTGGAATGCGGCACAAGAAACCATCGTCACAATCATACATTGTCTTACATTTGTGGACTACCGCGGACGCAACGCTGTTAGGAGTGCTGCGAAAAGCGCAAGACTCTTAGATGCACGTGGCTCAGACACAATAATAACTGTTCTAAACTTCTACTAAAGTATTAACTCTATCTCTTTGTGCTTTTGCATTTTCCTCCGTGGACGCGCCTAAAGCGGGGTATATGCAAGCCTCACTCACCGTTTACCGTTGTGCGACCAGCCCGTACATTTGCACAGCCCAGGCACGAGCGCATGACTGTAACGACACATCACATCACGATCGCATACCACTTTTGTTCTCGGCGACAAATTGATTGGATATTGCTACTCGGCCACCAGCGTTTTGTCCCCCAATTTTACCTTTACAGTATGTACATAGAAGGTCGTAAAGATGTTCGCAAAAAATCCCAAAGCCCCAGAATTACCTCCGACTGCGCACGCCCATCCAAATCACTCAGCGTCTTCTATCACCTCGTACAAGAAAAAAAATCGAACAGGCCTGCAGACTACATCCGAGTAAAATAAGCAAACTAGAAAACTTTGTGGCAATGTAGGCTCCACGGTATTCAGTTTTTTCCGGGTCGACGTGCTATTACTCTAGCATTGGAGCTTCGCCGGACCAGGAATCTTGTAAGGCGTTCCGTTGCCCTTGGGCTGACCCTGGGCGTTGTAGATGCTGAGTTTGATACCCGCATCGTCGGCCCTGTAGGCACCAGGGAAGCTGACGGTATTGCCAATCTTCGATCCAGATCCCGAGACATTGATCTGTGCGCATCCCATGTAGAATTGCGCGCCGCCGGCCGAGCTCGCGCTGTGCAGGGCGATGAGTTCAGCCCTGAGAAGATATTGGCCCGGAGCGACACAAGATGGCATCGTCATCTCAGTCCATCCGCCGCTGTTGATCATGCGGTCGACACCCCAGTTTCCAGAGCTGTCAAGACCGTCCTCTGCGACTTTGAACCACTGGAGACCAGAAGGAGACGCCTTGACGGCATCGGAAACCTTTGCCATATAAAAGATGGCAGGTCCCTTGTGGGACTTCGCAATCGGGTGGTCGGGATCGTTTGAGCCTCTTGGAAAAGTTAGTGATTTGCTGGTAAAAGGACTAAGGATGGGACAACGTACTGTGCTCCGCCGACAATGTGGCCCCAGTTGACGCCGACTTTGTCTCCGGGTTTGACGTCAATGACTTTGCTGGAGGAAGAAGCACCAGAGTTGCAAGCGATGTTGCCGTCATTCACATTGGTGATGGGGTTGTTGGAAGGGGCGACGCGGATACCGTTGCCTTGGCCTAAATCCTGGCCGTTGATACGGACGCGCTGAGCGATAGTATGCGCTGACCCAAGGGCGGGCAGCAGGGCAACAGCAGTGGCGAAGAACTTCATCTTGAACGAAAGACTGATAATGTAGATGTACTGGTCGAGTATCAAGGTGTAGATGCGGATGAGATGCTGTCACTGGGTGTCGTGCCTCTCCTTATATATCCCATCCTACTCCTACGCCCATTCCCGCGCGACCCTGGAGTATCAGCAGCATGACGCTTCTACCTGTCAATCGTCCATCTCAGTCGCTGGGCTGCAATATAACAACGCCACACGCAAGCCTTCGCTAAAGAGCCTCCAAGATTTCTCCGTGCGCCCCAGACTTGTTTTCCTCCACGGCAGAGGTGGCTGCTGTCGGTAGTCATGCAATGAGACCAATGAGACCAGAGAGTTTTCCATTTACTCTACCGGTCATATATGCTGTTTCGCAATAGATGGTTTTGTGCAACCACGTACCCGAAATCAGTCCTTGGCAGTAGGTGTTTGTGTGTAGCCGGTTAATATACTCTTCGCGATTGAGGCCCGTGAGTAAAGAGACACATGACCGGTTCCTGGAAGCGAGATATGCGCTAGCGATGATCGTATCGAGCCTTGCGTTGGAGTTGTAGTAGAGCATAGTTTCGTGTAGAGCTTACGTGTGGTGAATGTAGAATCATATCATAACCTGAAACATTCACTCTGCTACTCACATCCAAGCAAGGTAAACGAAGGCACGGAGAACATCCACAACCCTCCTCAAATACCTTACCTTAAGGCTCTGGCCATCATTGCTTTCCATGGCGCACCGCACTGTTGTTGTGCCTGACGCCCCGTCGCGGCATGCAAATGATCTTGTGACACCTCGCGACTGCTTTCACTCTAATTATTTGATGCCTACTCAATGCAGCGTATTGACCACACCCGTATCTTACCTCTTCAACCCTTCTCTTTACAAGACTAGGTGCTTCCGCCTTTTACAAAGAAGGAACTAAACAGTTGCACTGCAGAATACATAACTGTGAAAAACGAAAGTTGACAACATCCTAAAGCAATGTAGACTTCTGGGCTATGTGCTAAGATGGGTGTACCATTTCCCTTCGAAAGCATGCTTCAATGCCTAGCATCCAACTCTTCTTGTAGCCGTCGATCGACCGGAGTGAGATGAATAGCTCCGAGTACTGAACAGATCGTCAATGAAATAGGGCGGCTCCAGGCTGGATGTCTCTCTCTCTCGTTATCGCAATGTCCTGGTCCTGATTGGGCTGGCCGTTGAAGTAGTATGTGGGTACGCGGGACAACTGTGATACATCACCACCGACATACTCCATCTTACTCGCCCTTCAGGGCAATACCGGAGATAGCCAATGACGGCAAAGGGGCAGTGCAGCCCACAATGCTTCCGCTGGGTTACTTCGTGGTAGGCTAGTGATGCGACGGGGTCCAGCTAGTGTTAGAGGGTTGGATACGAGAGGACCCCTGGAAAAAATGGGATAGGTCCCACGAGAGACGCGCAGCTCGCAGCAAAACGGAGGGAGAAAGGATTTCGGCATTGCCGCCGTGCTGCATTGATCTGCGGAAGGATGAATGCAAATCGCTGGGCAGACTTGGTTCGGCACGTTCGGCTGTGCTCTCCCCACAATGAATCTCCACGTGTTTGGCCAGCGGCGATGGAAGTGGCGACGGACGATGCGGCTGCAAAGTCACCGAGAAGCTTTATCGAGACCAAGATTGTCAAAGTGAAGAAGTTGGCAGGCCACGAAGCCCCTCTTGTGTCGCCTACGTGTTCCGCGAGCCTGCATGTGACAGCTGCTAGGACATTCGATGTGACGGGCGCAAGTAACGGCGCAATGGATGGAAATGCAAGCAAGTCATGATAGGCCGAAGTGTAACAGCCGCGCCACAGACTAACACGATTCAAGGGTCGGGCACTGCTGCACGATGACGATCATGTCCGGATGGTGTTGAGGGCGTAGCATTGAAGGGAACATGACATCACCTAAGCATCTTTGTGAGCCTCTTCAGTGCCGCGAAGCCGCCGCGGATGGCCATGGTTTTATTCTTCACATCCGGCATCTGCCTCTCGACATCACAAGCACCCTCAGGCTCACATTAAATCCATCAAATTGAGCAGTTTGCGACACAATTGCACTCCAAGCAGTAAGTATTGATTGATCTGCGGCGCCATGTCGGTTCGGGCTCTCGCAATCTGCGCCTCGACCCCTCCGAGGCATCTCACCCCTTAGCGCGACTCCACACGTCATCGCCAGCCACAGCGAACGCGGCTCAGGGTTGCAGTTGTTTGCGAACGTCTTCTTACATATATTCGTCAGGGTCTACCTTACCGTCGCCGCAGCCAATATCCACGACCAGGCAGCTCCCACCATGGCGACCCAGCGCCCAGTCACCCCGTCGGCCTCCTACGACCCCGTACCGCACATCGACGACCCAGCCCATCTCAGCCGCGGCTATGGCACCTCCGCTGTGAATGACTTTGGAAACTCACCACTAAGCGCGCCAAATGAGCGCTCGCGCCTGGGGCGGTTCGAGGAGGACTTCGATGCGCGCACACGAGGCTCATCCGTCATCGAGGGTGATATGCACCAGCGCTCGTCCTCGCGCTCGTCCACCTTGAACCAGGGCGCAACCCCTTCGCGAAGTGGCACGCTCAAGAAGAAGAACTCTGTCAAGAGGGCAAGCAGCATGAAGCGTAGTGGAAGCAGGAGATCCATGCACGCGGGCTCGATACGCGGCGTGACCATTGACGACCAGGAGCATGGCTATGACCGCGAGGACAGTGTCTTCTACACTCCTGTGCCGACCAAGGGAACCCCCACCGAGATACTAGCAGAACGCTTCCAGAGTATGTTGGGCACGTGACACGTCCGTGAAACCTACTGACGTCTGACAGCTTGGCGAAAGTTTCTCAAGGACCTCATCACCTACTTCCGCGAGGTCGCATCCTCATACGAGCACCGCGCCAAATCGCTGTTGAAGGTATCGAACGTGATCAACAACACGAATGCCCCCGCCGCTCTCCTCATAGAAGGAGGTCTGAACGACGCCAACCGCATCCTCCGCGATTTCCACAAGCAAGCCATCCTCGAGGCCAACAAGGCGCGGGACGTCGAGGCCGACGTCATCAACCAGCTCAGCGGCCTCCGCGCTGATCTTGCGCAGAAGATCAAGGAGATCAAGTCGCTGTCTGGCGACTTCAAGAACAACGTCGAGAAGGAAAAGGAGACCACAAGGAAGTGTGTAACAGCACTTGAGGAGGCGCTGGCTTTGGCCGATTCAGACCCCACGGCAGTTGCAGGCAAGGGGGATCCCTATGTCGTGCGTCTGGGTGTCGAGCGCCAGGTGGAGAGGCAGATCGATGAGGAGAACTACCTCCACAGGGTCAGTTATCGCACGTGTAGGGGCGACTCAACTAACGTTTACAGGCCTACCTCAACCTTGAAAACTCCGGCCGCGAACTCGAGTCGATCGTCGTTGGCGAAGTCCAGAAAGCCTACAACGCTCTTGCTACCATCTTAAAGCGCGATGCCGATGAGCAGTACAACACGGTAGAGCGGTTGCGCAATGGCCCGATCGCCATGCCGCGCGATCTCGAATGGAGCAGGTTTGTGCGAAGCGACCCTCACTTCGTCAACCCAGACATGCCATTGCGCAGACTGGAAGATATCCAGTACCCTGGCAAGCACCACCCTGCTACTACCGAAGTCAGAGCAGGCATGCTCGAGCGGAAGAGCAAGTATCTCAAGTCCTACACACCAGGATGGTAAGCAACTTAGTCTTGACAACCTTCCCAGTCTAACAGTTTCTAGGTACGTCTTATCGCCAACGCATCTCCACGAGTTCAAATCGGCCGACCGCATCTACACTCAGCCTCCAGTCATGTCCCTATATCTGCCAGATCAGAAGCTTGGTTCTCGCTCCCAGCCCGGAAGTTCCTCTCACAAGTTCGTTATCAAAGGCCGTCAGGCTGGATCCATGCATCGTGGCCATACTTGGGTGTTCCGGGCGGAGACGTACGACACCATGGTCGCATGGTTTGAAGATATCAAGGCCTTGACTGAGAAGAGTGGAGAGGAGCGCAACGCCTTTGTCCGTCGCCATGCAAGCGTCAGGAGTACCAGCGCCGGCAGCGCCCGTTCAGCCAGCTCGGATGGCGGACTAGAGGAAGACGAGGCAGACGCGGTTCCTTTCTCAGCCAACCAGTCCATGAAGGAACAGGCCTACCGGGATCAGTCTGAGCGACCTTCCCGACCTTCTCCAGGTGGGCGATTCCCGTCTGATTTGATGGTCAACCGTAACTTACAAGCGCCTTTATCGCCATCTAGCGGAAGTTCAGAGGTCGGCAATGATCTAAACACCATGTCTGGAGGTCCGACACAGGATGTGCACCCGATGTATCTTGCCCAAACCTCAGCCTACCAGCCCGAACTTGCTCAGCCCGTCCAGCCAGTCCAGTATACCCAGCCCGCTCAACATCAACCGCAGACCAGTTTCGTAAACCCATACCCACCCGCCCAGCAGGCATACGCGCCTCACACTGCCGACGCCCCTTCATACGCGCCTGTTTCTCAGGCTTACCCTGTCCAGCCAACTTCGGTCGAACAGTACAACCAGCCATCCCTGGAACATGCTGAGCCTATCCAACGCAAAGATAGTACTCATTACGGCAACTGGTTGGCGCCTGCTGTTGGGGGTGCAGCCACCGGAGCCCTTGCAAACGAAGCATTGCGGAAAAAACAATTGGCGCAGCAACACTACGAGGCCCAGCAGCTCAACCAAGAGCAGCAATATCCAGTCGAACAATCTCGCGCGGTAGACTTCCCAGATGCCACCCCTACGCAAGTCCCCGAGCGGCATCCTGACCATATCCTCCCCGACCAAATCGACGACACCGGCTACGTAGCCCCGGCTGTGCAGCCAACCCCTGCTCCGATCGTTGCGCCTGTCTTTGGTAGCCACACTCAATCCCAGCATGCAAGCGGGTTGGATACACCAGGAGCTACTTCGTCTTTTTTAGGCGAGTCTGAGGTAGGGGCACCTGCCTTCGGCGAGACTGTCAACGGCGGGCCCGTCCCAGTGGGCCTCGTGGATACTGCAGAGGAGATGGCGCACCCTGGCATGGGTAAGCGGATGAACACCGACATCAGCGTTAGCGACCTGCATGTCCCGGGTGAATATCCTAAGACAACCGTCGGTGACGCCAGGATTCCTGCTGCCGCCGCCACATCGCAGGAGCCCACGACTTTCCTGAAGTACAACTGATTGTCTCACGGCAACGACTGAACGACTGAACGACTTGGGTAATGGGAGCTCTACGGTGACGACTCGAACGACTGGATTATGGATTCACGAGAAACAGCTGAGCAGGGGCTAGCTACGGGCTGGAGTTTTCTGGCAAGGAGCAAGGTTTACATCTGCGTCGCCTTTCTGTGAGGATCTCCTTGATGGATCTGTCAACATTTTTTCCTTTACAGTTCTTTCCCTCATTGTAACGTCTGAGCATACGTGCTCAAGCGTCTCATTACCCCCCTTGATACCCGGCGTGATACACCCAATAGTACATAGATGGTAGTTTGCTTTAATTGATTGTTACACTTCGTTCGATAGTCCGGTTCACTGATCATACTCGATTATAGCATCGAACCTACGCAACATCAACAACAATCTTTCCCCTAACCCTCCCTTCAACCATGTACCCCTTGACCTTCTCCCACCCCTCTTTACATCCTTCCTCCGTCAAAATGCCCTTCACGACATCCTGCACTACAACCTTTACCTCGCCCTTCTCCGCCAACTCCCTAACCTGCTCCAGCAACTCACTCTTCTGATACAAAATGACGTTCGCATACCGCGGCCCAAAGAAGTACCCCCAAACATGCCTCATCACCTGCGACGGATACGTAAAATACGTCAACGGCCCACCCATCGCCGTCCTCGAAGTCTTATCCCCCACAATAGTAATATACGCGCCCGCCGGATGAAGTAACTCATTCCAATGCGCAAACATCTCCGTGCCGCCCACACAATCAATGTATAAATCGTATTTCGTGCCGCCGGGCCGTTTGGAAAGAAGCGAGTTAGGCACGTCTTGTGTGCGGTAATCGATGACTTCGTCTGCTCCTAGGGATTGCACGAAATCGACGTTGGAGCCGGAGCAGATGCCGATCACGTGGCAGGAATAGAGCTTTTTGGCGAGTTGAACGCACCACATTCCTACGCCGCCGCTTGCGCCGGAGACGATGACGCGGCGTTGCGAGGGTGAGGGGGAGCTGGATGCGGAGGGGAGCCAGTCGAGGCAGGCGAATGCTGTTAGGACTACGAGAGGGATGGCGGCGGCTTCGTGGTGTGAGAGAGTAGTGGGTTTCTTTGCGATGGGCTCGGAGGTTGGGTTGATGGAGAGGTATTGTGTGAATGTTCCTTCTGCCATCTAATTAACGTTAGTTCCAACGTATTTCTTCTTGAAGCGAAAGCCGTGCCAGGCGAAAGCTTGACTTACAGGTCGATTACACAATCCAAAGACGTTGTCACCAACCTCCCATTTTCCGCTTTTACTTGCTTCTTCGCCCATCGACACAATTTCGCCAGAGTAGTCGCGTCCTATTCCTTTCTCTTTCTTGCCTGCTAGCCAGCCGATTACGGGGTTTCCCCATAGTTGGATGTCGACGGGGTTGATTGCTGCGGCTTTGATCTTCACCAGAACTTCTTGGGGCCCTGGTTTTGGTATGGGTGTATGTGTAAGATGTGGTTGAGATGAAGGTTGCGTATATGTGAGAGATGTGTTGGACTCTGGTAGTGAGGATGCCATGGTGGAGTAGCTCTTACTTTCCGTGAGCGGCGGAGCGAGTCGCGTGTTGATGTAGGAGACTAAAATTCAATCAGAGCGATTGATAGAACACTTGCGGAACCAATGTTTACTTCCGGGTTTCTACTTATGGCAAGACGCGGCCAGGGTTCTGTTGACGTCGTATTTCCAATGTTGCTCAGCAAGACCTTGGGTGGGGCTTCGGAGTACACACCGAGGCTGCATATAGCCTATACGAGTCATGTAGCGGGAATCGTGGATCATGACCGAATCGCAGCTCTTTGTGAAGGTCAAGGTATGAGAATTGGGCTGCTATTGTATATGAGTCTATCTAAGTCTACAGTTCATAGCATGTGTTCATAGTTTGACTGTACTTCTAGCGCGGATCTTCTCTCCGTACCTGATGAACAAGAATGGTATCGGGATCAGTAGCGTAGCGATGAACCCCAGCATAGTGTTACCCCAACCGTAACCCATTTGAGCGTACATCGTCTGGCTGCTCAGCGGGATGAATGCTGCTGCAACACTACGCAACACTGTACTCGCTGCCATAGCACTCGCCGCATGGACAGTAAATACGTCGACCAAGTACGTAGTGGCAGGCATGAACGTCATCAGCAGACCAAACCCGATGATGCCTGTTGCTACGATAGGCACCATGAAGTGCGTCTGGTATTGCACGCTCCAGCCGTAGATAAAGAGACCGCAAGGAATGAAGAAGCCGCCGATGCACATCATGTTCAGCCGGTGTTCCGGGCGGAAGTCGCCGCGCGCCATGTGCTTGTGTACCACTTTGTTACCGTAGTGGATGTAAGTGAATTGTCCGATGAGGGAGCCAATACCGAGACCGAGAAACGAGAGACCAGTAATGCCGCCATGCCAACCATACTGTCCCTTGAACACAGCAGTGAACGTGGTGAATAGAATGTACAGATAGGCGTACGTGATCGCGATGTAGAGCGAGATGGCGAAGCAGATAGTTGAGCGGAACAACATCTTGGCAGGTCGGATGATCGAAAATTTGAAGAGCTGGCGTGGGGTGAGGCCGCTATCCAACTTAGATCGTAGTTTCGTGTTCCCGGTCTCGGCTTTGAGACGATTGACTTTCCGTTGTAGGATGATAATGCCAGATGTCTCGCTCATCAGAATGAGTGACATGATGAAGAATGCACCACCCACTATCGCGACGAACCAAAAGTTCCATCGCCAGCCTTTTGCTACTGTCAAAAAGCCACCGATTATTGGGCCGACACATGGTCCTACGGTTGGCCCCATCATCCAGACAGCCATGGCAGTTCCACGCTGTTCTCGTGGGATTAGATCGGCGATAGTCCCTCCACCAAGTACCATGGGCGCTCCTCCAAAGCAGCCCATGAGAAATCGGAACACAACAAACTGCGCCATGTTGTTCGCCACAGCCGCTGCAATTGTGAAGACAATGAACAGCAAATTGCAGCTATGATACAATGGAAGTCGACCGTACATCTCCGAAAGCGGTGCGATGATCAATGGCCCAAAAGCGAAGCCCAAAACGTAAACGGACACCATGAAGCCTTCAAGCAGATCGCTCGTCGAGTTGAAGTCGCGCATAACCTCCGGCACACCGGGTGCGAATTGCGAACTCGCAAGAGGCGTTAGGAACGTAATCGCCGATATGAGCGCGACCATGCCCCATTTCTTCGAAGCTTTCCAGTTCATTGGGTTCTCTGGGTCGTTAGGACCGTCAAAGTCGACAACATTCGGATCGCGTTCGGGTTCTTCTTCTGCATCGGGTTGGTCTGCACTGGAGATTGAGCCTGAGCCGTTTCCCTTTTCGACATCTCTTTCGCCAGTTGTGTATTCGCCCTTCTTCTCATCTAGCGAGTGCCGTCTTTCCGATGTATGACTCGGCACTTGGTGTATCGAGCCGAGGTTGCTTGGGATATTTGCATCGTGGCCTTCTGCTGCGGCGAGGTCGATGATCTCGCTTCTTGTGGGATGGCGATACAATCCTGGTGGTTCTGGTTGCGGCATGTTGGTGGCTCGTAGAGATTGTATGAGCTCAGAGGGTAACGAATTCGCTATATGTTATGCGTCACCGCTGAGTCGTGCGTCACTCGGTTGTACAAAGCAATTATAACGTATTTGCTGGAAACAGCGAAGCGAATGCTGTCAAGCTAATGATGTTGGCATGTGGAGATCTCGTCCGCATGAGTGTCCGGGGATAACGGGCTGCCTCGAATGGCTTGAATCCGGGGGAGGGTAGAATATAACAGCGCCATGGATGGCAGCTACGGAGGCCAACGTTAAGTAAGAACAAGTAAGATGCAGCTAGCCCTAGTGAGAGGTGTCATCGGTTGCGGCTACCTGCTTGCCGCATGTTCTGTGGCTTGCTCGGTGAAGATCTTTGAGCGTTAATTCCGTTGGGTGCAACGCAGCAAGGGTCCAACACAGGCGCAGCGCTTCGAATTAACTCTATGTCATACCAAGGAAACATGATTCGATTGAATATTGTCCGCTTACTCCACTGCAGTATGACTGTGAACAGTCTCGTTCGTGAGCACAGTAACGGGGCACCAAGACGCGGAAGACTACCGTGAGGCCTAACCGAGATAGTGCGTCATCCCCACTCACAACTTTGCACCTTGCTTCTTGGAGGGTATCACTGAGAAGAACAACAGAGACATCAGAACACGATGTTGTCACAGCAATCATGCGATTATTACTCCAGCTTGAATTCAGCAGTCTCAAATCGATATCTTTGCCAGATTCCGTCCCTCTCCATCTTCCCCGCGTTTGCTTAGCAACAAATTGAATGGCCTCGGCCGAGCCCCATGGCCTAGTGTAGATTGTACGCCACAACTCGGGATGTGATACCCCTCTGGTGGGTCTAACATCGCCAAGGTCATGCTACTGCCCTTACTGGCGGATTCGTGACCTCAGTCCCTGCTCACTATACGATGGAGAGCTTGTGCAACGAAGTTCATCATGCACTCGCATTCGTGAAAATTAAACCATTCTGACCAGCTTGTGTGCTGAGAACGTCGTACAAGCGCTGCGCATACAGCGGTTATTGCACTAAGTCTGGTATTGTAGGTGGTGGTGTTTTTCGCGTTGTGGTAGCGTTGATAATCAGATTGTGGTACTGCGTGCGAAGCAGGTGCTGTAAGACCGGGACTCGTGTGCCAGAAGTGCCGTCGTTTGGCAGAGTCTGGTATTCTTCGACCAAAGGCCAATAATGTTCCTTTCATGAAACAAAATACTCCTATGAAGCTTTCACCTCATATCATGGCACCATGCCGATAACAAGGCTGAGGCAAAGGCTCTGTGACTTCGTAGTTGCCGAAAAAGTCAACACTGCTCTTTCTTCTCTCCTCCATTGCATCTTCCAGATCACGGCTGATGCAAATTTCCATGCCTCCACTCTGTTCTGTACCCTTCTTCTCCGTCGACATCTTGTAGCCCACACCCGCCGAAGAGTTCGTCGTTGCCGAAGTCGGGCTGAGGTAGGTAGAAGTAGTCGTCTTCTTCTTCCCAGGTACGTCATTTTCGCCGAGTAAACCAAGCCAGGGCAGCTCTGCGCAGCGCTTGAACACGTCCTCGAGGTCAAAGAGGTCCTGCATGGAAAGACTGTACATTTTTCCGCTCCGGAATTTCCAGAAGAAGAGTACCGATAGCTCGATCGTCTCGATGCATTGGAGTGACAGGGCGATCTTGTCCATGGAGGCAAGGAGATTCTTCGTCATACGTGTCTGGTCTTTCATCATCCGATCCCTCCCTCCGTTTTTCAGCGTCGTGTAGTTCCATTCAACGTAGAAGCGTATATGTGTTACATGCTTCAACATGGGCAGTTGCAGGATGTGCTGCGAGAACTCGAAATAGTCGTTGTTCGTCCGCGTATTCCGTAGTTCAGCATGTAGAGTGATCTTGCTGCGGCGAAAGTAGTTGTGCAGCAGCTCGTCCCGGATTTGTTTGTTGATCAAGAGAAGCTCAGGCCGTAGTCGTGATGCTTTGGCTACGGAGGATCCATATCCAAAGATGTCGTGTCTCCAGGGCTCTCCGTTGGACATCTCAGCACCCCAGAGGCAAGTGTGAAGTTCCGGACGAATCCTTGTGGGATCGGGTAACACATAGTTGAATATTTGGTCGCGGATCTCTCTTGGAAGGGCCAGAAGTGGTGAGCTGAAAGTGCTCGGTGTGAGTTCGAGCAGAATTTCCAGTTCTCGGAAGAGCATGCTTTGACGATGCTTGTAGAGACCATCAGAGCTTCTGTTCGAAGAGACTGAGAGCTTATTGCTCGATCGCTGCTGTATGGTCGCCATGGCGTATGCAGGGTCCGTTAGTTCCAAGTGGAAGGAACGCTGTCGTTTAGTTCCCGAAGATGTGATAGTGGTTGCAGGTTGGTATCCCGGAGTATTAGAAGGTTCAATATACGGGGTTCGCCGCAGGCTTTCCAGAGCTCGAAGACGGGCAATGTCCCTGTGTGAGCATGGGAAGTTGGTCGGCTAGGTACAAAACGTCGCCGCGAGTGATCTTATGGAACGTTTCGAGAGAAAGGAGAGTATCTGCGACGCCATGGCTGTGCAATGCGGCCAAGTCATGTGTGAGTGGTGGCTCGCCTGTGCGCAAGGATCGATTGCGGCACCCGTGCGAGCATTGAAAGTGGGGTGTCTGTATCACGTGTCAAACGGGAACGCGAGATCTGGCCGGCACAGAGTGTTTCAGCTTGGCGCTTCGAACCTCCTGCATTCGCAGCCCTGTGATGCATGAAGACCTCAAACGCTTTGGGATGACATTTTCTGCGTGCCATGGTCGTCCGCGGGCTCCACGGCCATGCTGTTCCGCTCGGCAGGAAAAAGCATGCTCGCGTGTATGGCATTCTGACGGGAATCATGATCGTTCCCAGGTTGTGCGCACTGAATCTGAGGAAACTATTATTATTCCGCCTTATTGCGCGTCATCTATATTTAACAACAAGCGACCGAAATTCGCGTCATCGCGTTGCGCCTTTCGACGTCTAGGGGTATCACAACAAACAAACAAAAAATGCTCAGACGCTACACATGCTTCTCCACCTACTCAGCCGATTCTGAATCAAAGCACTGGCAGTCGGCAATGCTACCACCAGGTCTCCACCCGCTCAACAGAGTCGGGCATCGCCATGCAACATCCATGTCTGAGCACTGAAACAGTACATTCCATATCCTCTCCATTGTGTATCCGAACCAGGGTTGGCTCATCGAATCGGGTCGTTCTTGAAGGTAGGGCTCTTGGTGTGCCCAGCTGTGCTCGTCGACAAAGAGCTGCCACAAGTCGTCGTAGATGGACTTGTCGATACCGCGAATGCGCGCAGCAGTGACAACGAACTGGCCTTTGTAGCTGAGCAGCACGTTCTCACGAGTGGATCCGTCGATTCGGGATTGTACGTCCGCGAACAGCGATGTCTCATCACGCCAGCCGCGCTTGTCCCCACAGTCGTCGCCATTGCATAATATCCCCGCCCACCCAAGGTTGAGGAAGCCTGTCTGGTTCGCCCGGAAATATCGCTCGAAGAATGGGTAGAATTCTCGTGGGTTGTGAACGTCGGCTTGGAGGAAAATCGTTCGTTCCGCAAGGCTGTCCCAGCGGTTGACGATGTGGTTCAGGTAAGTTTCGGCTTCGCGTCCTATGTTTGGTAGCTTGATGACTTCGTGCGCGTTCGTTTCCGCTTTGATCTTTCTCTCGTCTGCTTCGCCATCCTTCAAGTAAATCGTGACAAGAGCCTCTGTCATTTGTGGCATGCTCTCCAACTTCTTGATAAGTGCAGCAACATCCTCAGTGCGCTCTTTGTACATGCTGATCACAACTTCCAAAGGCCCAATGGGTTCGTATTGTAGATCCAGGCGCGGCTCCTCCCGAGGGTATTGTCGTTGTCCAAAGTTCAAGCTCACGAATGCTGTCCACAGCACGATCAAGACCAAGCTGACCAAAGAAGAGCGAGCACTACTGCCCTGCGATCTTGGCCGTGATGCTCGTTGTGCTTTGGTACCAAAATCCTCTTCATCGTCGATCGGTGCATTGGGAGAGCGTGAGACGAGATCGTAGCTTCCGCGCGAGCTGTCCTGACGGTTGGACGGTTTCCAAACCGTGTCGTAGATGTCTTTGCCGCAGGCGCACATGATGGCGAGGAAAAAGCATGATAGTTGGTAAAAGCTAGTGTAGGATCGGCGCGTTGACAGAACGGTGAAAGAGCCGGTGATAGCTGCCATGGCTAGAATTGTCGTGGCGCTGCGGACGCGTTGTGTTGCGGCAAAGCTGCTTCCGGGTAGTTGGCCTCCTGACTGGATATCCATTGGGAAGAGTATCGAGCCTCCACTCAACAATGCCGCTGCTGTTGAAAAGGCATTCAGACCGCGGAGAGGCAGGCTGCTTGTGTCGAATGAGTCCCAGTGCTCGCCTGGGAAGTTGCTGACAAGACAGAACAATGCAAGCAGACCGCCCATAACGACGAGCAACATTGCGTTCATGCTTCGGGTAGCATATTCTCCCGGATAGTGTCTAGCAACAAGCTTCTTCAATGCACTTGCTGCACCAACGAGAAGCATTGCCAATATCGATGCGATCAAACTTGGTACCATTAGTCGGTATTCCATGAACAGGACACCAGCACAAGCTGTGGCAAGCAGGCTCAAAGACAGGGTTTCTGCGTTTGAGCGAGGTGTGTAGTTGAACACATAGAGAACTACACCTTCAGCGAAGAAGGCTATGGTCTGATATGATCAGCGGAACGCATGTCAAGCTTGCTCTAGAGAACATACCGTGATCATACATAGTAGCGGTAGATTCGAAGTATGCAGGACTGCTTGCACTATGCAGAATGCAGATACCGCTTGTAGGAGATTCGAAGCGGCCAATAATAGTCCACCTTGAACTGGTCGCTTCCTACGTTGGTCTTGCTCGCTGGCATGTTGAGCGCTCGTTCTCCATGGGTGGAAAAGGAAAGCGACTAGGGCCGTAGCCGCAATCTGGGTAATGTACAGTTGCAAGGGATAATG